GGGGTTTCAGGTGGTTTTTCTGGGGGTTTCAGGTGGTTTTGGGGGAGTTTCAGGTGGTTTTTGGGGGGTTTTAGGGGACTCTCAGGTGGTTTTGGGGGGGTCTCAGGTGGTTTTTGGGGGGTTTCAGGTGGTTTTTCTGGGGGTTTCAGGTGGTTTTGGGGGAGTTTCAGGTGGTTTTTGGGGGGTTTTAGGGGACTCTCAGGTGGTTTTGGGGGGGTCTCAGGTGGTTTTTGGGGGGTTTCAGGTGTTTTTTTGTGGGGTTTTAGGTGGTTTTTGGGGGGGGTTTAGGTGGGTTTTTGGGGATTACAGGGGGGTTTTGGGGGGTCTCAGGTGGTTTTTGGGGGGTCTCAGGTGGTTTTTGGGGTGTCTCAGGTGGTTTTGGGGGGTCTCAGGTGATTTTTTGGGGGGTTTCAGGTGGTTTTGGCTCTTGCCTCGAGCCCCTTCCTGTTACTCCCCCTGGACTTCAGGGGTCCCTCCCTGTGTTCTGGGGTCCCTCCCTGAGTTCTGGGGTCTCCCAGAATCCCAGGGGGTCTCCCCTGTATTTGGGGGACCCCCTCCCCGGGTTTTGGGGCCCCCCCTGACCCCCTTTTTCCCCCCCTTTAGGTCCAGGGCGTCCGCACCGAGTTCACGGTGGAGGTTTACGAGACCCACGCGCGGATCGCGCTGGAGAAGGTGGGGCTGGGGGGCTCCTGGGGACCCCCAAGGGACACCCCCGGCTCTGGGGGGACACCCTTGGGTTTGGGGGGTCCCTGAGGGTCCCCCCTTTTTGCCCCCAGGGCGACCACGAGGAGTTCAACCAGTGCCAGACGCAGCTGAAGGCGCTTTACGGGGAGAACCTGCCCGGCTGCGTCGGGGAGTTCACGGCCTATCGCATCCTCTACTGCATCTTCACCCGCAACTCGGGGGGTAAGGGGGGTCCCCAAAACCTTGGGGGGGTCCCCGGAACTTTGGGGGGTCCCTGGAACCTTGGGGGGCTCAGGGGGATCCGGGGGGACCCCAGAATCAGAGCCCTGCCCGGCTGCGTTGGGGGGTTCACGGCCTATCGCATCCTCTACTGCATGTTCACCCGAAACTCGGGGGGTAAGGGGGGTCCTCAGACCCAAAGGGGGGTCCTCAGAACCTTGGGGGGTCCCCAAAACCTTGGGGGGTCCCTGGAATCTTGGGGGGGCTCAGGGGGATCCAGGGGGACCCCCCAGTCCGAGCCTGCCCGGGGGGTCAGGGCCTATCACATCCTCTACTGCATGTTCACCCGAAACTCGGGGGGTAAGGGGGGTCCTCAGACCCAAAGGGTGGTCCCCAGAACCTTGGGGGGTCCCCAGAACCTTGGGGGGTCCCCAAAACCTTGGGGGGGCTCAGGGGGATCTGGGGGGACCCCACAGTCAGAACCTGCCCGGGGGGTTCAGGGCCCGTCTCGTTCTCTCTGCTGGAGCTTCACCCGAAATTTGGGGGGCCCCAAAAAACCTGAGAGGGGTCCCCAAAACTCCCCCCAGTGACCCCCCTTTGTGCCCCCCAGAGCTGAGCACGGAGCTGGTCCTGCTGCCCCTCACCCTCAGGACAGACCCCTGTGTGTCCCCCATGACCCCCAGTGACCCCCTAGTGACCCCCCCAGATCTGACCCCTATTTCTGTGCCCCCCAGAGCTGACCACAGAGCTGGCCCTGCTGCCCCCCAGCCTGAGGACAGACCCCAGTGTGTCCCCCCATAACTGATCCCTATTTCTGTGCCCCCCAGAGCTGACCCCTATTTCTGTGCCCCCCAGAGCTGACCACAGAGCTGGCCCTGCTGCCCCCCAGCCTGAGGACAGACCCCTGTGTGTCCCACGCCCTTTCCCTCCGCGCCGCCTGGGCCTTGGGGCTCTGGAGCCGCTTCTTCCGGCTGCACGGGGCGGCCCCGGCCATGGGAGGGAAACTCATCGACCTGTTTGCCGAGAGGGAGCGTCGGGCAGCCCTCAGGGCCATGATCAAGGCGTAGGTGGGGCCGGGGGGCCGCGGGGGGGGACGGGATTTTGGGGGGGAAACCGGCGGGAATCGGGCGGGAAACGGGCGGGAATTGGGGGGGGGGGGAAAGGAGGAGATGGGAGGGGAAATGACCTGAAAATGAGGGGGGAACGGCCCAAAACTGAGGGGAAAAGACCCCAAAAGTGAGGGGAAAAGACCCCTGGAATTGAGGGGAAAAGACCCCAAAACTGAGGGAAAAAGAAAGACCCCAAAACTGAGGGGAAAACGTCCCCAAAACTGAGGGGAAAAAGACCCCTGAAATTGAGGGGAAAAGACCCCAAAACTGAGGGAAAAAGACCCCAAAACTGAGGGAAAAAGACCCCTGAAATTGGGGTGGAGAAACGGCCCGAAACTGGGGGAGAGACCCCCCAAAATGAGGAGGGGGGAGAGGAGAAGGAGCCCCCCCCCCCTTGGCCACACAGGTGAGTGCAGGGGGTGGGACCCCCATTTCTGCCCCACATCGGGGCCGGGACCCCACCTTTGGTTTGGGGGGTGGAACCCGCCCCATTCTGCCCCACATTGGGGTGGGTGAACCCCCCCCATTTCTGCCCCACATTGGGGTGGGGGGTCCCTCTGCCCCCCAGCTGGGGCCGTGACTCCCCTCCATGGGGCTGAGCCCCCACTTTTGGGGCTGTGACCTCCTGAATGGGGCTGAGCCCCCACTTCTGGGGCTGTGACCTCCTGAATGGGGCTGTGCCCCCACTTATGGGGCTGTGACCTCCCAAATGGGGCCGAGCCCCCACTTATGGGGCTGAGCCCCCACTTATGGGGCTGTGCCCCCCTCTCCCTCAGCCTTGTGTGGGGCCAGGAGCCCCTTCTTGGGGTCACCCCTTGCACTTATGGCCCCGTTTATGGGGCTGAGCCCTCATTTATGGGGCTGAGCTGTTTGTGGGGCTGAGCCCCTATTTATGGGGCTGAACTCCCAGTTATGGGGCTGAGCCCCCATTTTTGGGGCTGAGCTCCCCAGATGTGGGACTGAACCCCCATTTATGGGGCTGAGCTCCCCAGATGTGGGGCTGAGCCCCTCTGAAGGGGTCACCCCCCCTCTATGGGGCTGAGCCCCTTGATATAGGGCCGAGCCCCTTCCCTGGGGTCCCCCCCCCTCTATGGGGCCGAGCCCCTCTGAAGGGGTCCCCCCCCCTCTATGGGGCCGAACCCCTTCCCTGGGGTCCCCCCTCCCTCCGTGGGGGTCTCCCCTCGGCCGTGGGGCTGCGGCCGCCCCGGGGGGCTCCCCCTTTGTGCCCCCCCGGGCCGGTCCCGCCCCCCCCTGACCTCCTTCTCTCCCCAGCTACCGGCCGGCGCTGCCCACGGCCCAGCTGGGCCCCACACTGGGGCTGGAGCCCCCCGAGCGCCGCCGCTTCCTGGGGGGGCTGCCCCTCACCTTCACCGGCCCCGACCGCGCCAGCATCGACTGCAGGCAGAGCCTCCAGGCCCTGCCCCACATCTGACACACTTGGGGGGCACCAGAGCCTCCAGGCCCTGCCCCACATCTGACACACGTGTGGGGCACATGGGGGGCACCAGAGCCTCCAGGCCCTGCCCCACA